GAGTTATAAATCAGATATAAAATTAGGAGGCCAAGTAAAATGGTTTTCACGTAGAGTCCAGATAGTGTTCACTTGGAATCGTAGACTCAATCTGCGAAAGGATCCCATATCTGTTTGAGAGACTGGTGACGTTCGAAAAACGTGTTTCACCATATTACATATTTATCGAATCTAGCTGCCTGTTAGCTCTTTGGTCTGGACTACTGGCAAGAGAATTCTCGAGAGGTAGAGATGAAACATTGGCTGATGGATTTCACTTCATACTGCGGTAGTCATGAGGAACCCGCAACACGTTCCTGAAAAATAGGAATCTATAAAAGTATATTAGTTTTCTTTTGTTACACGAACGCGAACCGGAGCCTGCAAAATTTATAACGGGAAAGGATTGCCGTTCCCGCTGAAAAATATAGAATAGCGGAACAGAACGATCCGGATACAAATAGAATATCCTTTCAGAATTTAAGTTATTGTCATGTGGAAGTGATACAGATGGAACAAAAATGCAAGATTTTGTTCAGCATTGAACTTACAGTTGACGCTGGTTCCTATCTGCATGATAGCTTCCCATTTAGGGTAAGAAAAGGAACCGTTTTTGAGATATTTCGATTTTTAAGGTTCGATGCATTTTTAATTATTTATGGGAAAATAATATTTTTTTTTACATTTTCGATTTGGGCATTACAAGTAATTAAGATGATCGTTTAGCTAGTGTTTTTAAACACAGCAATAATTCCTAACTCCAGCCAGTTTCTAACTATTCTCGAATAATGAGCTGGACAACCATCAAGCTGGAATCAGACCAATCTTCTTAAATCTAACATAACATCATCCCACATATTTGCATGTTCAGCCTTTAAAAATTCCAAGAAGGTCGCAGCATTTAACCTTGCAGGCAAAAGGTAGGGTCCAAATAGTCGATTACCGTAGATACCAATCCACACGTTCACACTAAATTCATGCTGAAAATTTATTTCCCGAACTGCATGCGGATTTTCATGCGACCAAATATGTTGATTATGAAAATTTACCACTCCACGTCTAGTGAAGCATGACTCATCGGTCCATAAAACGTTACTTAAAAACTCCCTATTATTATCAGTTCTATCAAGAATCCACTGACAAAATGTGATTCTTCGTTCTCCGTCCCCTGGCTGTAGTCCTTGCACAGGTTGCAAATGGTAAGGACGTCTATGGTCATTTCTAAGAACACGGTGAACATGGCTTGCTGAAATTCCCAAGGCACCAGAAACTCTCCTAACACTTGTAGTCGGATCTCTATCAAACTCACGCAGAATCATACGGGTAAATCTGCGCTGACGAACATTTATGTTTTGATCCCTTTGGAGATTTCCAAAACCATTTTCAATTATTCGGCGATGCACTCTTACAAATACTGAGCGAGTTGGATGTCGTCTGTTTGGAAATCTTCGTGCGTATTCTCTGGCTGCTTCTGCTGCGTTTTCATTTACAAAGCCATACACAAAATGAATATCCGCCAGCTCTTGATTGGAGAATAAAAATGGCATTTTTATAAAACTTACAAAAAAAAAAACAGGTAAAAGAAACTAAATTTCGTGCATCCACAATTGCAAAAAACGTTTCAGGTTTCAACAGACAACAAAACTAACTGTCAACTAATTGACGTTTAACCTTATTCTGCTTTCAATTTCCAAAATATTTGCACGCTCAGCCTACTTCTAAAAATTATCGAGATACTGACTTTTTAACGTTATTTTATCATAAATAATTAAAAATGCATCGAACCTTAAAAATATAAATATCTCAAAAACGGCTAACTATAACGAAAATTCACAAGAGAGCTTTTTTATGTTGAAAAGTTCGAAGAAGCTGTTTTTTTATTCAAAAAGCAAAAAATTGCACTAAGAAAATTTTTTCGGTCATTTTAATACACTACAGGTCCAGTAGAGAGCGCCCTCTAGCGGCTACAGTAAAACTATGTCCATGGTTCGTTTTGTCGTACCAAGAAACCCTTGTATACCAATTTTCACTGTTATACATCAAATATTATTCGATGTATTTAAAAGAAACTATTTTAGAAAGTAAATTTAAACACCCTGTATTTCGGAAGCCAGGCATTTTTCTACCCATGTTTATATAGACTTTATGCATTAATTTTAAAAGTTCTATCGAATCTTAAAGTTATGCAACAATAAACTGAAACACCCTGTATATCTCGAAAGCTAGAAAACTTTTAGGTCATGTTGGTTTTATCTGATTGGGCTGACGCCAATCTACCTCCCGTGTCGCTCTGGCCTGTTACTTCTGGAAGACCCTGTAGATTATATGTATTTTTTGTTCTGTAATATTGTTAATGTTGATCTCTTAATTTTACTATTATTATATAGAAATGCGTACAGTTTGTCGACTATTAGTAAGAACCGATTATGTTTCTCTTCTAAAATCAATTGTTCACAGATCCATTAATATTCAGAAAGAAAACATTGATTTACCATTCTTTGATTTCGCCACTCATTGCGACGTCCCTAGTAAATAGAAGCTTCTTAGTAAGAGAGTGGTAGACAGTGCAGAGAGAAATCCAGAAGATGAGTATCATTAAGGTCCTCCACCTTACAGATGCGAAAAGTCGCGCGCGTCGGAATCTATTTCTGTCTGTCCTCATGTCTTCACCCACAGCATCGCCGGTCTATTTTTGTACCGCGCACTCTACTAGAGTGCAGATGCCTACCTGAGCTGTTCGAACGACAACAATTTGACTCATGCCGGTTATTTCAGATCACTTGACTCAATACGCAGCCGTTGCTTGGCACTTTCCGTTTCGTCTAACTCATATTCCCACGAATGGTTGCAGTTATTATGCGAATCTGGCTTGCCAGGTAACTTTGGTATTTGGAAAAAATTATCTCTTAGTCATAGCGTAGTTAGGATTGATTCAAACAAGCAAGGAGTTTTGCTATCAGGGACTGTCAACCACAAGGTGTCCAACGATAACATGGCTATACAGTGTGTGCCAGATTTGCTTCTCTATTCAGCGGTCTCGGCTCCTGTTATACCTACAGCAAAGGTTAAATAGGGATAGCTTTAGAGCAGAGTTCCTCAAACTTTTTTGTGTCGTAGACCCCTTGCCATGTTTTTCCGTGTTGGGTGGACCCCCTACTTACCTGATATTGATTTCCTGTAAATTTCTAACTGTAGTGAAGTTTAGTGTTAAAAACTTAAAGTAAAAACACATGTTAATTTATACATTTATTAATTTAATTTAAATTAAAACTACTCAAAATAAAATTTTGTATCTGTTATGTAAAATATACGTAACATTAAATAAACAGGTGTCTGACCAATAAGTGCCCGCATTGGGAATAAGTGCCCGCATTGAAAAAAAAATAAGAGGGATAAAATAAAAAAAAGAGAAAAATAATAAAAGAAAAGTTTTCTACTTAAAATAGTACAATAAGCGAGTTCGTTTATTAATTATAACATAAACGTATGTTCCACAATAATTTCACTGTTAGTTTGAATAAATTCCGCTTCTTATACGTTTAAGTTATCTAAAAATAGGCAAAAAATTAACGAATTTTAGTGTGTACCTATCCTTGAATTTTAAGAATAATTTAAAAAAAATATATTTTCTGTAAAGGGGGGTTCTTTAAAAAATTAATGCGGGCTCTTATTCCCAATGCGGGCATTTATTGGTCAGACACCAATAAACATAAAATAAACTATAAATAAAATAACATAAACAATAAGTCAATATTTTTAGTAAGAAGGATGAACCTGATGCTTTAATAATAAATTATCAACATATGGCGTCAATTTTGTAAGTGTAATTTTTGTAAATCTCCTCGGCTAATTATGTCCAGTCTGTTTCTTTTTTTCGTTAGGAGATTGGTAACAGCGCTGAACCCCTTTTCCACTAGGTATGACGATGGAAAGGAAATTACAAATTTCCTAGCTATATTCCATAATACGGGATAAGTAACGGGTATGTTGTTTTGCAGCCAGAATTGCTGATATCCGTTTTTAAACTGAACCTTAAGTTCTTCGTTTGTACTTAGTTCAGTCAGTTCCTCTTGTATTATGACATTCGTTTCTTCTATGTCACCATATGGATTAATTATCCACGGTGGTATTACCATAGTCAAAATATCCTCAAACCTAGATTCAAAATCTGTATAGAGGGCATTTAAATGTTGAACGTAAGTTGAAACGTCGTCTTCCTGGCAGCTTGTTTGTGACAAATTGGGGAACTGAGAAAATTCGCCCCGTCCAATATTTTGCTTCATTAGTTTAACTCTGGCAAGAAACGCTGATAAGATGGACTTTGTTTTAATCAAATTTAAACTGTCGCCTTGTAATTGCAAATTAACCATATTAAATTTTGTTAACAAATTTGTTAAATAGGCGATGTCTGTTTTCCTCTTCATTAAATTTTCTTTTAAAATTTTATCTTTAGTATCCAGAAATTCTAAAATAGTCTCAAAAAGTGCAAAAAATCTTGTCAAACATAATCCTTTCGACAGCCAGCGTACTTCAGTGTGAAGAAGTAATCGATGAAAGTGTTCATTTTCTTCACATAACTGCGCAAATAACCGCACCGCGTATTCAACGCTTCGGATTCGGTTTACTGCATCAATGACTAAATGAAGTGATTCATGCAGTCTAACACTCAAATTTTTAGCAACTAAATGTTGTCGATGGATGACGCAATGTATTGCTAACACCCCTGACACATTTTATTTTAAATAGCTTATAAATCCACGATAACGTCCAACCATGGCAGGTGCTCCATCTGTAGCTACTGATATTATATTTGATAAAGGAATTGCTTTTTCAATGAAGTAATCCTTCAAAACATGGAATATTAATTCACCTTTAGTGTCGGTTATCAAAGTTCTTGCGAAGAGCAGTTCTTCGTAGATTTCTTGATTCATAATAAAACGAACTATGCCAATAATAATACTGCATTATCAGGTAAAGTTGACTAGTCCAGTTGTATAGAGAAACGGGTCGTTTGCAAATAATTACATAAGAAAGAAGCTTTCAATATCAGACCTCATTTCATCAATACGTCTTTTAGCAGTATTGTTGCTTAAGGTAATTCTTTTAATGATATCAGATGCAGGTTTGTGTAAAACAGTTTTTAAAACCTCTTTAACGGCTAGCAAAATTAACTTCTCTCCGATAGTATGCGGTTTTCCGGATTTTGCTATAAGTAACGAGATATTGTAAGACGCCCGCAAACCATCATCATTTCTTTGTGACGTCGAAGCGAACATTCTGTCCAGTGTAGGACTCTTCTGAAATGTATCTTTGAGTGTTTGAAAGTATTTCTTTCTTTTCTCTGTTTTATCAGGGTGGAATCTTCTCAGATGATCTTGCAGTTTAGATGGTTTCATAGCGTCATTGCCCAAAACTTTATTGCATAAAAGGCACATAGGCGATTGTTTGTCCGGCAATGATGGAATGAAGTCAAATTTCAAATAATCTACACTGTACTGTCTACATTTCTTTTTGGATTCGGACATGGCATCAGTCATCTGTGGGTAAAATTAAATTATTTAAATAAGACAGAAAATCCAGCAGCTGTATATTAAAAATATTTTTTGATTTTTCCGAAAACATCCCATAATTCGAACATCTTCTTGCAACAATTAGCTCGAATTACGGAGATTGCACTGTAATTATATTACCGATTGCTAAAACTTTCAAAAAGAAACTATTGAGGAGTACTCGTGTAATTTTGCATGATTGAATATTTAACTACTAATAACTAAAGTCATGATTGGCGTAATTTGTCTATCTTTGCTAACTACGAGTACAAAACTAAAATTTAATAAGAAATAATGTACTTACTTTTCTCCAGCACTCTCAAACAAAATAACACTGTATATCACACATAATTTGTGTGATATACTATCTGTTTATATTTTTTAAAATATTTTCTTAGCAGTTTCCTTTTCAAGATTCAGGAAACGAATAAACGTATTTGTCCCACATTCGTATTTACAGAGTGACGAATTGAACAAGTCAGTGCAAGGTAGCGGAGCTCTGAGACAGCGACTCTCAGGTTTTTACAAGTTCAAAATGTATTGCGACCACAAAGCGAATATCAACATCCTACAACTTACACAATTTTATAAACATATATAATAATTTTTTTACTTCATAGGTACTTTTATAAATAATGTATATGTTTCGACATTAAAAGATAGTATGATGTAAGTAAATAGGTACTATCAGTGTATGTGTTGAGACCCACTATCGTGGACCCCCATATTCATTTCATGGACCCCCAATTTTTTTTTCGCTGACGTAGACCCCTTGCAGGTTGTCATAGACCCCTAGGGGTCGATATAGACCACTTTGGGAATCACTGCTTTAGAATAAGCTTAATGCATTCGATAGCTGGCTTTAGATTTACGATCGGTCAACTGGTTTTGGAAATATCGGCGAAAAACCGAAAATGTCGAATTTCGTTTTTTGCCAGTAAATTCGAAAGGGTCAATTTGACAGCTGTCAAAATGCAACAATATTCCTACATTTTTTTAAGGCAAATAAGATAGCGTCTATGACATATCTCAATCGTCTTTTGTTTTCCCGCAACCTGTCTCAAATTTTAATTTTCTTATGGGCACCATATTGGATTTTCGATTTTTGAAAAGAGCGTAAAATTTCGAGCCCAGTGATGTCTCACAAGGGCATAAAATAATGGAGGATCATCGATCATCACACGTTTTTTCCATGATTTATTTGCCAGAAAATAAAATCAACAGGTAATTTTTTCATCTAAGGAAATAAATAATTCAAAGTATTGAAATTCTTGTGTCTTAATAAGTAGTAGGTATCTACGTCTTCTCTCATTAAAATCATAAATCATAACACACTCATAGTTGGGAATTTGTCCCAAAACGTTTGACTTAGAAGTCGATATTAACGTTATGACGGTCAAAAAAAAATGAAAGCATGCTATCTTATTTTTCTTAAAAAATGTCCGAATAATGCTACATTTTGTCAGCTGTCAAATTAACCGTTTTGGATCTACTGTAAAGGAACAAATTTCGCTATTTTCGTTTTTTCGCTGATATTTTCAAAGCCAATTAAGCGATCGTAAATCTGGATCCGGCTATCGAAAGCACTAAGTTTCCTCTAAGACTTTCCCCACTTTGCCTTTGCTGTTGGTATAAGAGGAACCGAGCTCCCTGTATAGAGAAGCGAATCTGGGACACACGTAAAGCATGTTGACCAATAACCCGTTACTTGACTACATTCGATTTAGGCATCTCCTTTGATTAGCGATACATTTACTATAACCTATGTTGTGAACGTAAATTAGCGGTCATTTACTATTGCTATCTGTTTCACACATATTCCAAAACATCTAGTTGCCTGCTTTCGGACTGATAAGTTCAAAGTCAAATGTAACACGAGTCAGCTTTGAGCTCTCTATACTGGTCCATTACCGTTTTCAAGGGGTTAATGTGATAGCGCTGGTTAACCGTGTTTCCATTTCGCTAGTAGCAAAAGCAGCTTCCCAACATTACACGATTGAGAATCGTGAGTATATAACGACGTATACCTACCACCAGCCATTTTGTCATCACTCGAATTCAAATATTTTATAGCATAAACTTTAGATGTTAAAATAATGTAATAATATCAACAAATATGTAGAAACCGGAGAGAGATTTTAAACGTTTTCGACTGTTCCATAGTGAGTTCCCTTGAGGTGCTTTTTCAACATCGGAGGGAGAAAAAAGTCACAAGGATTGAAGTCAGGCAAAAAGTAAACCTGAGGAGCCATAGAAATGTTTGTACTGGCCAAAAACTCGTTTATTGACATTGCTGTGTTCTTGATCTGATGCACGGAGGTGTGACTTAAGTTTAACTATTCATCTATATGTCTGTCAACCGAGGATCTGAACACAAAAGATCCAGAATTCTGTCGAAATTTTCATCGGTTCTTGAAGATGAAGGCCTGTCGCTTCGTGGTTCATATTCAATCAAATCTCTCCCTTCTGAAAATGCCTTAAACCACCGAAAAACAGACAGGACACTATCTCTGTACGCCTACTGTAGCTTAGTAAGTGTTTATGTGGCACTGTGCCCAAGTCCGAAGCAAAAGTTGATTATAACTCAATAGGGAAACCTGTTTTACAAAATAGACAAACCAAATGACTCGAACGAGTTCAAACTTGTACTGAATGTGGATCACATGTTCCTCTGTCTTCCCTCTAACCCCGGCGCCTCCAGAGCAGTCGCTACGTTGACAGTCTCATTACTTAATTTACATAGCTCGTCAGTGATGTGTTGAATCCAAATCCGTAGTCCAAATCCCTCAATTTGCTCTAGTCTTCGAGATATCCCAACTTAAAGGTGGCGAAGATAGTCAAATATAGTCATCGTCTCAAAATAAAGGGTTGTCCAATAGGGACGCAGGTAAGTAAACGTCAATTTGACATAGACGCCATCTTTGTTTTCTGTCACCGACATGTCATTTTGTTAGTTGAATGTTTACCATTGATCGCTATGGAGTCGTATTCGATTGAAGACCGCATTAAAGTTATCCAAGAGCACTACAAAAATGGTGCAAAAATAAAAATCACATTTCGCGCGCTTCGTGAACATTTCGGTCGCAACAACCGCCCAAACGAAACAACCATCGGTCGTCTGGTGCATAAATTCGAGGCAGCAGGTTCCGTGGCAAATCTGCCAGGCTCTGGCCGGCCAAGGAGCGTTCGCACACCGGAAACTATTGCTGTTGTGTAGGAGAGTGTGAGAGACGATCCGAAACAATCAACAACGCGTCGATCCCAAAAATTGGGCATTTCGAGAACTAGTTTGCTCCGCATTCTCCACAAGGATTTGAATGTACACGCCTACAAGATCCAATTGACGCAAGAGCTGCGTCGGGCCGACCATTTTTCGCGCCGAACGTTCTCAGATTGGCTCCTTGAACACCGCCAAATTGATGCCAATTTCTCATCAAAAATCATGTTCAGCGACGAAGCGCATTTCACTTTGAATGGAACGGTAAACAAGCAAAACTGCCGCATCTGGGCGAACGAAAATCCCCGTGAGTATCAAGAGCAGCCGATGCATCCTCAAAAAGTAACTGCGTGGTGTGCATTGTGGTCAAAAGGCATCATCGGACCTTACTTTTTCGAAAATGCGACCGGGGACGCCGTTACCGTCAAATCTGAGCGATATCACGTGATGATAGAGGACTATTTTTTGCCGCAACTTGAAGGAATGGATATGGACGATGTTTATTTCCAACAAGACGGTGCAACATGCCACACAACCAACGTCAATATCCATCGATTGCAGTCCTTCTTCGGTGATCGCGTGATTTCGCGCAGAGGAAATGTGCCATGGCCACCAAGATCGTGCGATTTGACTCCCTTGGACTTCTTTTTATGGGGATATTTGAAAAGCAAAGCCTACGTCAACAAACCAGCCACCCTCCAAGAACTCAAAAACAACATCATTGCCGAGATAAATGCCATAGAACCGACCATGTTGCAAAATGTCATTGAAAGTTTCGACCATCGCGTGGACGTCTGTAAATCCAGTCGTGGTGAACATTTGAGCGATATTATTTTCCATACATAAATGTACCTTCAAAATAAAGTACCTAACTTGACTTGAATATCAATCTTTCTTGTTTTAATATGCGTTTACTTTCCTGCGTTGGACAACCCCATACAAGCCTTGTCATTTCATACGCTGTTTGGTTTGCTCAAATGTCTTTTTATTTCGCTGAAAACTGACGCTTCGAAATTTTTATTTTTCTGAATTCCACTATGTGTGACGGTGTATTTATTTATTTATTTATTTCCTCTCAACAAAAAGCATTGTGCAGGAATTGTCATACATTTTTTAATCTAAAAACAACTATATGTAACAAAAAACAGTCATATATCACAATATTCTTGCAGACTATGAAAGCTATTTTCAATCAAATAGTGCTTTAAGAGATTTTTAAATGTTTTTAGATTGTTTTAAATCTTTGTTTCCAAAGGAAGTAAGTAAAACAATTTTTAGGCCATTATCATTTGGGGACACAATATTTTGAGTTCCATATGGTGGTATATAAAAGCCCTCTAACCCACTAATAGTCGTATTAATTGAATGCACCTGGCCATGAATTTTTAAATATGTATTAAACAAGTTTCAAAAATTGAACACGCTAATGTATATTCATGAAGTAATACGAACGAACTAAGAAAAGTCCATAAAACGTCTAAATCTTTAATGCTTCCAAAACACAGAACTGTACTTTGTCTAACAAGAGGCGCACTATCGCTCATCCGGTTTCGATGAATAGCCGAGCTATAGCAAATAATCGCTTATTTCAGCTGGTCGAAGTCCAGATCACCAAGGACTACCGCTATGTCAGCGGGCTTTGCTCTTCAGAGCTCTCCTGTATGATGTC